ACTTTAGTGATAACGCATTCCTCATGGTGTGCAGCAAAATCTCGTTGGCCGAGTCTGAAGATGAGGGAAGTCGGTACACAACACCGATTAGACACCTATCAATTTTGGAGAGTCTTACTGAACACCATAACTAATCGAGGGCTGAATCGGGAATATCAAGCTGTTCACACTGTAAATTGTTTCGAGGATAAAGCAGCTCTCCACCGCCTCGTGTAGGAAGATCACGTCTGAGCAGCGACATTCCAGATAGAAGCAATTCCGAGACGAGAATGTCAGTGGTCAGCCAGGTTTCAGTAACGGCAACGATGTCAAAACGATTAGTTTTCNCATCTCGGAGAATTTGCTAAGGTACCCTCGTGCATTGGTATAAAAACATGAAAGATATCTTCGGCAAAGAAATCTATCTGGGTATGTGGTGTTATTTCTGCCGACCAACTTGGGGTCGGCTAACAATGGTTTTTTGTAGAATTGGCTTCGCCGGTGCTGCTCGGTGAACGTGGAGTGATAAAAACCGCGCTATTCGAGGAAGGTGGCGTGTTAGTATCGGTTGCCGTTTTCGGACTTTGCTGGGATCCAGTATTATGTAATATATTACATCACAGAAAGAGGCGCCAACTCTTCCGTTTGCTGGTCAAACAATTGAATTTCTGTCGGATGCGTAGCATCGCTTTGAAAATACGCCTTATACGAACACATTGAAGGCGACCGATGCATTTTCATTGCAAACAATTAGCATCAAAAGTTCACTCAGCTTAGAACCAAATTGAGTGTCACTCCAGACGACTTCATTTGACGATAAATAGAGGCTAGAGAGCACAAAGTGTGTAAAATTTAAAATCAGTCATGTTTGCCGCAAAAAGAGTTCCCGGGAGAATCCATTTATTCCACAAAAAACAGAAGAACCAGGATCTCTTGAATAGTACGGACAATTTTACGCCGGAGGTAATCCCGTATAAACAATCCGCTTTCATGCGTTCCGACCGATTTGGTTAGTAATTGTACGCTTAAATTTACAGTGGTTATTGTATTAGTACACTCGAGGACGTCTGGATCAGTGAATCTCTCCTGATTTAAAAAACGATTACACAAAATGGTTCCGCTTTTATAGAACGAATGGGAAAAGAAACTAGGTAATTAAGGGTGGTGTTTACGTGAGGACCGAATCGCATGTCTATGTGTATTATCAATCCCCTAATGACTGTCAGCGAAACAGGTGCTATTCGGAACAGTCCAATTTCGAATTAATAAGATCAGAGGGTAGAAAGTAAGGCAGACATGAAACGCGCAACATCTGAAAAGTGGTGTTCTCCTGAGGTAGGGACTAAACTGGCAGGCGGATTCACCGTCCTGTTTCAATAAAACTTATAGCGTAGACTAGGTTGATAAAACTGCGCATCTGAACCAATAAGTAACAGAATTTTGAAATTAAATTTTCACTGTGTACTTGCAGTTGTGATTCTATTGGACGGACAAGTATCAAACAAACGCGATTGGAATCATTCAAAATTTAGAGTTGGAAATCGCTAGGAGTGTTTGATAGTCCTATCGGAAAAATCGACATTCCATAGACTTATTGGTTAATTAAGGGTCATTTTTTTCAAAACTTGTTTACAATCCATTTAACGTAAAACTGATACTTGCGCGATCGAGCAACTACACCTTTTCTCATCAAGCTTTAGCTAAAACCCGCAATCCTTTAGCATCGACCTGTAATCCTTTAGCCAAAACCCACATTCCTTTAGCCAAAACCCGCAATGCTTTAGCCACGACCCGCAGTCCTTTAGCCT